TTCACATACATTGTGTCCCGAGTGCTTTGTCCTGCCTATGCATTTTTACCGCCCTTTCTTCCTGGAAGCTGAGAAACGTCCATGGCGTCCAAAAAGCGTCCCTTTAGGTCAGACGCGGTTTTAGACCGGCTAGAGAACAGCGATAGTAAATCAGAACCACTTGCAGAATTGAGTGATAATGATTGGTGGGGGAAATTCCTCATCAGACACTGAAAACGATTCTGCGACTGAGCTCAGCGATGTGCAAACTTGGCGCTCTATTTCACATTTCAGTGTTTTTGGTTTCATTATATTATTGAACTACATTTATTATATTATTATTATTTTTATGATTATTTATTAAATTATAATTTATGATTTCGTGTTTCAAGTTTTATCCTCCCCGGGATGTTTACTAGACTCTTGTTCGGACAGATTTCAGGGAGTTATTCCTAAAAATTACAGACCTACAATAAAAAAATACATATTTCCATGCAAAAAAATGTACCGCTTTGAGCACAGAAATCCTGACATCATCAGACCGCTAGGGAAGTCACAATGCAGTAAAACGCGGCAAACAGGCATTTTTTGTGAGCACAATTTTTTTTGTGTGTTAAAAAATGCTGAAAAACCCAGCTGCGGAGGAACTTGCATTTTTATCGTGACATTAGGTTTCAGGCACACAAGCAGCCGCTAAACTCGAGCTTTGGAGCTTTTGGCATCTTTTTGGCAGAGCTCCCAAACCCAACTCCATAAAAAGCCTGTGCGCCCTCGTACACCTCGGCTGTAAGCAGAGATGAGGAGCTGCCGGGGTCAGGTGAGGTTAACAAGAATCACCTTCAGGATAGGAAAGCTTTGACTAGCGAGTGCTGGAAAACGCAAAACACGGTAAAAACGTGGATACCGTGTTTTTGTCACAATTTGCGTTTCCCAGCGGCCGGCAGCCAGAGTAGGCTAATGTACAGGAAGCCTTGCATGAGGACCAACGCTGACTGAGGGAATATGAAAGGAAACATGGAAGGGCTAGCTAGTTACATAGTTACATATAGTTACATAGTTACATATAGTTACATATAGTTACATATAGTTACATATAGTGACATAGTTGCATATAGTTACATATAGTTACATAGTTACATATAGTTACATATAGTTACATATAGTTACATATAGTTACATATAGTGACATAGTTGCATATAGTTACATATAGTTACATAGTTACATATAGTTACATATAGTTACATATAGTTACATATAGTTACATATAGTTACATAGTTACATATAGTTACATATAGTGACATAGTTACATATAGTTACATATAGTTACATATAGTTACATAGTTACATAGTTACATATAGTTACATATATAGTGACATAGTTGCATATAGTTACATAGTTACATATAGTTACATATAGTGACATAGTTACATATAGTTACATATAGTTACATATAGTTACATAGTTACATATAGTGACATAGTTACATATAGTTACATATAGTTACATATAGTTACATAGTTACATATAGTGACATAGTTGCATATAGTTACATATAGATACATAGTTACATATAGTTACATATAGTTACATAGTTACATTATACTTATATAGTTACATATAGTGACATAGTTACATATAGTTACATATAGTGACATAGTTTGTATATACTTACATAGTTACATATAGTTACATATAGTTACATATAGTGACATAGTTGCATATAGTTACATATAGTTACATAGTTACATATAGTTACATATAGTGACATAGTTACATAGTTACATAGTTACATATAGTTACATATAGTGACATAGTTGCATATAGTTACATATAGTTACATAGTTACATATAGTTACATATAGTTACATATAGTTGCATATAGTTACATATAGTTACATATAGTGACATAGTTACATATAGTTACATATAGTTACATAGTTACATATAGTGACATAGTTACATATAGTTACATATAGTTACATATAGTGACATATAGTTACATATAGTTACATATAGTGACATAGTTACATATAGTTACATATAGTTACATATAGTTACATATAGTTGCATATAGTTACATATAGTTACATATAGTTACATATAGTTGCATATAGTTACATATAGTTACATATAGTTACATATAGTTACATATAGTGACATAGTTACATATAGTTACATATAGTTACATATAGTGACATATAGTTACATATAGTGACATAGTTACATATAGTTACATATAGTGACATAGTTACATATAGTTACATAGTTACATATAGTTACATATAGTTACATATAGTGACATAGTATACACATAGTTCATATAGTTACATAGTTACATATAGTTACATATAGTGACATAGTTACATATAGTTACATATAGTTACATATAGTTGCATATAGTTACATATAGTTACATATAGTTACATATAGTTACATATAGTTACATATAGTGACATAGTTACATATAGTTACATATAGTTACATATAGTGACATATAGTTACATATAGTGACATAGTTACATATAGTTACATATAGTGACATAGTTACATATAGTTACATAGTTACATATAGTTACATATAGTTACATATAGTGACATAGTTACATATAGTTACATAGTTACATATAGTTACATATAGTGACATAGTTACATATAGTTACATATAGTTACATATAGTTGCATATAGTTACATATAGTTACATATAGTTACATATAGTTACATATAGTTACATATAGTTGCATATAGTTACATATAGTTACATATAGTGACATAGTTACATATAGTTACATATAGTTACATATAGTTACATATAGTGACATAGTTACATATAGTTACATATAGTTACATATAGTGACATAGTTACATATAGTTACATATAGTTACATATAGTGACATAGTTACATATAGTTACATAGTTACATATAGTTACATATAGTGACATAGTTACATATAGTTACATATAGTTACATATAGTTACATATAGTTACATATAGTTACATATAGTGACATAGTTACATATAGTTACATAGTTACATATAGTTACATATAGTGACATAGTTACATATAGTTACATAGTTACATATAGTTGCATATAGTTACATATAGTTACATATAGTTACATATAGTGACATAGTTACATATAGTTACATAGTTACATATAGTTACATATAGTTACATATAGTTACATATAGTTGCATATAGTTACATATAGTTACATATAGTTACATATAGTTACATATAGTTACATATAGTTGCATATAGTTACATATAGTGACATAGTTACATATAGTTACATATAGTTACATATAGTGACATAGTTACATATAGTTACATATAGTTACATATAGTGACATAGTTACATATAGTTACATATAGTTACATAGTTACATATAGTGACATAGTTACATATAGTTACATATAGTTACATATAGTTACAAATAGTGACATAGTTACATAGTTAGTCTGGCTGAAAAAGACAAAAGTCCATCCAGTTCAACCATAGAAAAAAAAAACAAGTTATAATCCTCCACCCACAGTTGATCCAGAGGAAGGCAAAAAAAAAACCCCCCCCAGCAAAGTACGATCCAATCTCCTCCTGCAGGGGAAAATTCCTTCCTGATCCCCCGAGCTAGGACTGTATTAACTAGCACTAAACAGGAGGGGAGGACAGAGGAAGATACCAAACTCACATAGTAAACAGGCTTAATGCTCCCATTTCATTGGTGCGTACCTTTAACTCTCCATTTGTGTTACTTTCCATAAGGTTTCCCCTTTAAAGGATCGAGGACCGTCGTCCGGAACTGCGCTGAGACCTGCAAGCCCAGCAACCCCAACAATTTGGGGAACACCAGCCCAACGTACTGCTGCCAGGAAGACACATGTGTAACGTGATGAGCCACGCCCAGACCACGCCCACCGCCTACTGGCCCCTCGCTGCAATCCTATTGGCTGTTATCACTGCGCTTAACTGCAGATGAACTCTGGACCTTGGCTGGCTTTTTGTTCCCAGAAGATGACCTCTGACCTTCTCCCAGCTGGCAGAAAATCAGGATTTTGGGATGAAGTCACATCTGGAGCAACGACCCGGAGATATGAGGGTCACAAATTTTTGGTTTTTTTTTTTTTTTTTACTTTTTAGGGCCGGATCACACTCCATGCGTTTCAGTTGCTTTTTTTCTGCATCTGCACAGAAAGTCGGTGATCTGGTTGTCAGTGTCATAGTTCACGTGAGCGCTGGCAGTTCCGGTGCGTTCCGGGTGCAGGAAAAAGAAATGTAGAACAGGCGGCATTTTTCCTGCACAGAACTGTACTGGAACGCGGTAAAATGCATCAAAAATGCACCGGAGTGCACATGTCCCTATTTAAACTGAATAAAAATAGAGGGGGAAAAAATTAACTGGAATGCATAAAAATGCACCGGAACAGGGCAAAAATGCATGAAAAATGGACTGAAACAGAACTGTTCTGGAACGTGGTAAAACGCATCAAAAACGCACCACAAATTACATGGAATGCATCAAAAACGCACTGGAGAGCATCAAAAACGCACATCCGGATGCGTTTCTGTAGTGTGAACCGGCCATTGGTGAATTTAATTACCCCTGAATCAGCCCAGAACCCGTGTCATTAGTATGTGATCAGTGTCATTAGAATGTGATCGTGTCATTAGAATGTGATCGTGTCATTAGTATGTGATCGGTGTCATTAGTATGTGATCGGTGTCATTAGTATGTGATCGGTGTCATTAGTATGTGTTCGGTGTCATTAGTATGTGTCCAGTGTCATTAGTATGTGATCGGTGTCATTAGTATGTGATCGGTGTCATTAGTATGTGTCCAGTGTCATTAGTATGTGATCAGTGTCATTAGTATGTGATCGGTGTGTCATTAGTATGTGTTCGGTGTCATTAGTATGTGATCGGTGTCATTAGTATGTGATCGGTGTCATTAGTATGTGATCTGTGTCATTAGTATGTGATCGGTGTCATTAGTATGTGATCTGTGTCATTAATATGTGTTCGGTGTCATTAGTATGTGATCGTGTCATTAATATGTGTCCATGTGACCACCTCACCCCCTTGGTCTCAGCCCGAATCACACACCTACTGAGCGACATATCAGACTGGATGTCGCTCCACTTCCTTAAATTGAACCTCTCCAAAACCGAGTTTCTTGTCTTCCCCCCAGCCCGGACCCCACCCCCCATTGATTTCTCCGTCACATCCAACAACGCCACCATCAAACCCGCCCTGCAGGCCAGAGTACTTGGTGTCATTCTGGACTCCAACCTATCCTTCCAGCCCCAAGTCCACTCTTTAACAAACTCGTGCAGACTCCACCTCCGCAACATGCAGACTCCACCTCCGCAACATGCAGACTCCACCTCCGCAACATGCAGTCCACCTCCGCAACATGCAGACTCCACCTCCGCAACATGCAGACTCCACCTCCGCAACATGCAGACTCCACCTCCGCAACATGCAGACTCCACCTCCGCAACATCGCCAAAATCCGCACGTTCCTAACCCCAGACACCACTAAACAGCTCATCCACTCCCTCATCATATCACGACTCGACTGCAACTCCCTCCTCACTGGCCTGCCTCGCCGCTGGCTATCCCCGCTTCAGTCCATCCTGAATACGGCTGCCAGACTCATCCACCTTTCCAACCGCTCTGTCTCCGCCACCCCTCTCTGCCAATCCCTCCACTGGCCCCCACTCAGTGTCCTCCACCCCCCTCTGCCAATCCCTCTACTGGCCCCCACTCAGTGTCCTCCACCCCTCTCTGCCAATCCCTCACTGGCCTCCATTCAGTGTCCTCCACCCCTCTCTGCCAATCCCTCCACTGGCCCCCACTCAGTGTCCTCCACCCCCCTCTGCCAATCCCTCCACTGGCCTCCACTCAGTGTCCTCCACCCCTCTCTGCCAATCCCTATGGCCTCCACTCAGTGTCCTCCACCCCTCTCTGCCAATCCCTCCACTGGCTTCTGATTGCCCAACGGATCAAATTCAAAATCCTAACACTGACGTACAAAGCTGTCCACCATACTGCCCCGAACTACATCACCGACCTAATATCCAAGTACCGCCCAACACGCACACTCCGCTCCTCACAAGACCTCCTTCTCTCTAGTTCCCTGGTCTCCTCCTCCCATGCCCGCCTCCAGGACTTCTCCAGGGTGTCACCCATCCTCTGGAACTCCCTGCCCCAACCCATCAGATTATCACCTACTCTCCTCTCCTTTAGGCGCATCCTGAAAACCCATCTCTTCAGGGAAGCCTACCCCACCCCCTGCTAACTTGCCGACCTCCTCCACTCCTCCTACCACCCCATCCCCCACAGCTATCTCCTCCTGTGCCACCATCCCCTCCCTCCTAGATTGTAAGCTCCAAGGAGCAGGGCCCTCGATCCCCTCATGTTTTGCATTGTATTGGTATTGTTCTGTCACATGTTCTGTCCCCCTCTGTAATGTACAGCGCTGAGCGAACTATTGGCGCTTTATAAATACTGTATAATAATAATAATAATAATAAGTATGTGATCGGTGTCATTAGTATGTGATCGGTGTCATTAGTATGTGATCTGTGTCATTAATATGTGTTCGGTGTCATTAGTATGTGTTCGGTGTCATTAGTATGTGTTCGGTGTCATTAGTATGTGTTCGGTGTCATTAGTATGTGATCTGTGTCATTAATATGTGATCGGTGTCATTAATATGTGATCGGTGTCATTAGTATGTGATCGGTGTCATTAATATGTGTTCGGTGTCATTAGTATGTGATCGGTGTCATTAGTATGTGATCTGTCATTAGTATGTGATCGGTGTCATTAGTATGTGATCGGTGTCATTAGTATGTGTCCGGTGTCATTAGTATGTGATCGGTGTCATTAATATGTGTTCGGTGTCATTAGTATGTGATCGGTGTCATTAATATGTGATCGGTGTCATTAGTATGTGTCCGGTGTTATTAATGTGATCGGTGTCATTAGTATGTGATCTGTGTCATTAGCATGTGATCGGTGTCATTAGTATGTGTCCGGTGTTATTAATATGTGATCGGTGTCATTAGTATGTGATCGGTGTCATTAGTATGTGTCCGTGTCATTAATATGTGATCGGTGTCATTAGTATGTGATCGGTGTCATTAGTATGTGATCGGTGTCATTAGTATGTGATCGGTGTCATTAGTATGTGTTCGGTGTCATTAGTATGTGATCGGTGTCATTAGTATGTGATCGGTGTCATTAGTATGTGATCGGTGTCATTAGTATGTGATCCGTGTCATTAGTATGTGATCGGTGTCATTAGTATGTGATTCGGTGTCATTAGTATGTGATCCGTGTCATTAGTATGTGATCGGTGTCATTAGTATGTGTTCGGTGTCATTAGTATGTGATCCGTGTCATTAGTATGTGATCGGTGTCATTAGTATGTGATCGGTGTCATTAGTATGTGATCCGTGTCATTAGTATGTGATCCGTGTCATTAGTATGTGATCCTTGGTGAAGGGATGAGGTGGCAGCCCGGCTCTGTGGTGTGTAGGATGCCCTCTAGGTGTTTTTTTTTATGGAAATGATTGTTTTTCAGCAGTCCTTGAGCAAAGTTGCTGGCTGACTTACATTCAGCCAGTAGGGGGCGCACTTTACTGATCGCTCCATTTTGATACCAATAAACTATACAATGGCTTGGGGAGCGGTAATATAATGTAGATTTGGTCATTAGCGGCTGGTTCACACTCTAGAAACGCAATCCAGATGCATTCCGGGTGTGTTTTTTTTACTTGTTTTTGCTGCTTCCCGGTGCGTTTTTGACGCGTTCCAGTACGTTTATTTATGCATTCCAGTTCATTTTCCCCCCTCTCTCTTTTTCTTCAAATAGGGACATGTGCGTTCCGGTGCATTTGTGGTGTGTGTTTTACCGCGTTCCAGTTCAGTTCTGTGCAGGAAAAATGCCGCCTGTTCTATTTTTTTTTTCCTGCATCCGCAATGCACCGGAACTGCAAGCGCTGATGGGAACGATGACACCGACAACCAGATCACCGACTTTCTGTGCGTTTTGGATGCATAAATAAGGCAACTGAAACGCATGGAGTGTGATCGGCCCGCAAGATGTAAATGAATGAAAGGTGCAGGTCAGAATATTTGTAGATAGAAGTATTGCGCAGGGAAAGGGAAATGTATGGCTTCCAGCAGTCACACCCAGGGGTGGACTGACCATTTTGGAACTCGGGCACTGCCCAAGGGTCCGGGGTCAGTAGGGGGCCCCATGAGATGCCCCTACCTGACACCTTTTTCATAGGCTTTTTTGAGTTTGGGGCAAGGACACAGGGGCCCCATGATCCCCTATTGCCCGGGGGCCCCATGAGTTGTCAGTCCGCCCCTGGTCCCGCATCTCACAGGGCCGCCATGTGGATTGGATTAAATCCTGGCATCCTGTGGACCTGTGCTGGACGCCATTTCCATTGCCGGATGGAGTATCTGCATACATGTACCTTAGATTACCTTCTCTGGCTCCTCCCTCCCCCCCTCCCCCCCACCCTCCATCAACATGCTGATGACATTTCTGAAATAAAACCTGTTTTTCTACCTACCTTATTTTCAGTGTCATTACTGTATGTCTCTGTGCTTCTCTATGCAATGCAGGCAGATCATGGCTGGTGGGAGGGGCCAACGGAGGGCGGTACACAGCTTCAGTAGCCCTCTCCAGAGTCCTCAGCCATGATGCAAGCAGTGGGCCGGCTCTTGGGAGGAGTGATACAAACAGAATGCCTTGGTGGGTGGATCTTCAGTCTGGAGGCGTGGGCGTTCCTAAGCGTGCAAAGTAATGCCAAATTACCGTATTTGTCGCTCCATAAGACGCACCTAGGTTTTAGAGGCAGAAAACAGGGGAAAAAAATTCTGAACTAAAGGACTGCGGACATAGTACAGGGGATGACCAGAGACTGCGGACGTAGTACAGGAGATGACCAGAGACTGCAGACATAGTACAGGGGATGACCAGAGACTGCGGACATAGTACAGGAGATGACCAGAGACTGCGGACATAGTACAGGAGATGACCAGAGACTGCGGACACAGTACAGGAGATGACCAGAGACTGCGGACATAGTACAGGAGATGACCAGAGACTGCGGACATAGTACAGGAGATGACCAGAGACTGCGGACAGAGTACAGGAGATGACCAGAGACTGCAGACACAGTACAGGAGATGACCAGAGACTGCGGACACAGTACAGGAGATGACCAGAGACTGCGGACAGTACAGGGGATGACCAGAGACTGCGGACATAGTACAGGAGATGACCAGAGACTGCGGACACAGTACAGGAGATGACCAGAGACTGCAGGACAGTACAGGAGATGACCAGAGACTGCGGACACAGTACAGGAGATGACCAGAGACTGCGGACATAGTACAGGAGATGGCCAGAGACTGCGGACACAGTACAGGAGATGACCAGAGACTGCAGACAGTACAGGAGATGACCAGAGACTGCGGACACAGTACAGGAGATGACCAGAGACTGCAGACATAGTACAGGAGATGACCAGAGACTGCAGACAGTACAGGAGATGACCAGAGACTGCGGACACAGTACAGGAGATGACCAGAGACTGCGGACACAGTACAGGAGATGACCAGAGACTGCGGACACAGTACAGGAGATGACCAGAGACTGCAGACACGGTACAGGAGATGACCAGAGACTGCAGACACGGTACAGAGATGACCAGAGACTGCAGACACGGTACAGGAGATGACCAGAGACTGCGGACATGGTACAGGAGATGACCAGAGACTGCAGACACGGTACAGGAGATGACCAGAGACTGCAGACACGGTACAGGAGATGACCAGAGACTGCGGACATAGTACAGGAGATGACCAGAGACTGCAGACACAGTACAGGAGATGACCAGAGACTGCAGACATAGTACAGGAGATGACCAGAGACTGCGGACAGTACAGGAGATGACCAGAGACTGCGGACATAGGACAGGAGATGACCAGAGACTGCAGACACGTACAGGAGATGACCAGAGACTGCAGACACAGTACAGGAGATGACCAGAGACTGCGGACACAGTACAGGAGATGACCAGAGACTGCGGACATAGTACAGGAGATGACCAGAGACTGCAGACACGGTACAGGACATTACCAGAGACTGCGGACACAGTACAGGAGATGACCAGAGACTGCAGACACGTACAGGAGATGACCAGAGACTGCGGACACGGTACAGGAGATGACCAGAGACTGCAGACAGTACAGGAGATGATCAGAGACTGCGGACACAGTACAGGAGATGACCAGAGACTGCGGACATAGTACAGGAGATGACCAGAGACTGCAGACACAGTACAGGAGATGACCAGAGACTGCGGACAGTACAGGAGATGACCAGAGACTGCGGACAGTACAGGAGATGACCAGAGACTGCGGACATAGTACAGGAGATGACCAGAGACTGCAGACACAGTACAGGAGATGACCAGAGACTGCGGACACAGTACAGGAGATGACCAGAGACTGCGGACAGTACAGGAGATGACCAGAGACTGCGGACATAGTACAGGAGATGACCAGAGACTGCAGACACAGTACAGGAGATAACCAGAGACTGCGGACACAGTACAGGAGATGACCAGAGACTGCGGACACAGTACAGGAGATGACCAGAGACTGCGGACATAGTACAGGAGATGACCAGAGACTGCGGACATAGTACAGGAGATGACCAGAGACTGCGGACAGTACAGGAGATGACCAGAGACTGCGGACACAGTACAGGAGATGACCAGAGACTGCGGACAGTACAGGAGATGACTGCTGACCTTTGGGGAGGGGGGGGGGGGTACCCGCTCTTACTTCCGCGGAGTTGTTCTTTGATCTTACCTGTTCCTCTATCCAGCCGTGCGCTGTCTTCCCGGCTTCTGTAATGGCGCTCGGCATGACAGCCGGGTGCCCAGTGCGCATGAGCGAGAAGCGCTGC